TGGACAGTGAGATATCCGGATATTGCATATCCGTATATGTCCCCGAGGAATATCCGGATATTCTGGGATTTCGTAGAACAGTAACTGTGCTGTGTGTACAGTAGGCTATTGGGGGTTTGTGGACCCTAGATTGATGAAGTTGAACTTCTGTAATTAGTGGACTAAGCCAGAATCATGTGATTAAGGGCTTGTAGCTTTGTTAGAAGCTTTAAGACATTAAATGTAATGAAAAGGCGTTGTCTTTAATTTGTATGCATGTGGTACATGTTTATTGATTTATATTTGGTCCATATCAGATTGTGATCTGCTGTGATTGGACTTTGAGCTTGTGGCATTGGATAGCTAGCTTAGAGGTAAGCTTTTGTGTCCTCGGTTTAGCCATGTTGTGGTTCCACCATGTCCCATGGGGATATGGTATGTGCATGCTGTGTTACATGTTTTTGATGTTTTGAAAATGCTGTTGAGCTTTTGTATGTTAGTGCCTTGTTGATATGCATGGAGGTGTTCCACCTATACGGTAAGCCTGAGTATGTGGAACATACAAGAGGGTGAGGCTGTGGGTGAGGTGCAAGCGGTGTTCCTTGTACTACATGTAGGTATAGACATATTCTTACATTTCTCTGGCCAGTAGATAGTGATTACACACATGCCATAGATATCTGTTGCACTACATAGTTTTGGAACTGATATTGATATAAATTCTTTTAGAACTTATATTGCACATGTAAGTGAGCTTGGGGTGGAAGATCCTTGAGGACCCCTTGTCTTACTGAGATTTCTTGTTTAGAGATCTCACCCGACGTTTGGGGAATGCTTATTTCAGGGTCAGGTAATGTTGAGACCTCAGGCGGCAAGAGGCCGGAGCTGAGTTAGATTTGCTGTTATATTATGATGACTTGTTGGATGCTGGATATGCATGCTGCTTTTATGCTTTGAGCTTCATTTTATGTTTATGATTATTTTGTTGAGATGCTGTTGATTTGGTGAGTATGGGATTGTCCATGACACATAGACTAGTTATGTCTTAGTTTGATTTGGAGTTATGTCTTAGTTTGATTTGGAGTTGTAATAATGTATCAGGATATTGTCCGGACTATGTGATGTAGATCTGTGATTTAGATACACACTTTATTTATATATTGAGGTATTTCAGTAGATATCTTATTGCAATTTACATACAGGCGTTATTTTATGAAATTGATTAAGTAATCAAGATGGTAATTGATAATGACGTCATAATTGAATAGAAAAAGAATATTCCGCATTTTTAATTAAGCACCGCTTAATACGATGTAATGATAACACTACCGGATATATACGGGGTGTTGCACTTCACATTCATTGATCCAGCTCCTTTTTGCAAATGGATTAGATGACCCAATCCTCGAAATGGGGGTAATCCTTGAGGTAATGAGAATACTTGCCGGAATGTAACTAATACAGACCATATAACAAGATTAATGGAAGCCTTCAAGGACAACAGGTATGGTAAAATTGCTCCTTGTATTGATGATTCAGCACTACTTTGTAAAATGTGACACACGACGCAATCTTGTTTAACAGATTCTACCATAGCAACAAAATCCTGCTGCAATCCTTGGAAATTGTTTTCCCCTCCCACAGAAACTCCATGTCCCCTCCCACAGAAACTCCATGGACATATTAAGGTAGTCATGGGTAACTTTTCCTAGCTTTTGAAGCCAAGGCATACCCAATATAACACTGATATCAACTAACTTTAAATCCCACAAGTCAGTTACAAAACGAGTGCCATATATCACTAAAGGAACCTTAACACACTTCTTTTCAGATAGAAAAAAATTCCCCATTCCCCAAAAATACATGAATTTTATGAGTACGTATCATAGGCAAGGAGAGTTTAATAGCAAGTTTCTCTTAGATAAAATTGCGGGTGCTACCTAAATCCACTAATAACGAGATCTCCATACCTTGTAACATTGTTGGAATCATCAAGGAACAGTGAGAAGATCTATCAGACAGCGCATGCAAGGAAGCATCCTTCGATTCACCAACGTTGTCTTCAGCATGCCACATAATATGTTCCTCCTCAAGATTCTGATCCACTTCATTTTCCTCTTCAATTGACAGTAGCAACTTATTCTTGCATCTATGCTTTAAGTTCCATTTCTCATCGCAACTGTAAAAAAACCCAATTCTCTTCTCTTTTGTAACTTTGATTGGGACATCTTCTTAATCTGAGAAGGTTCTGGTAAGGCCAAAGGTTGATTTGTCGAATTCGAAGGTGGAGTTACAGAGGCAGACATGCTCTATGATGATGGAGAAGGTTTTGGAACGAGGTTCTTTGATGTACCTTGGAAATAATTCTTCAATTAATTGAAATGCTCATCATAAGCCATGGAAAGCTGAATGGTTTGATGCAAGGATAAAGGCTCACACAATCGTACCACTGTTGAAGATCCATTGGAATCAAGAAGCGGCCATACCCTCCATTTTCAACCTGGCTAGAGCCACTTTAGTCTCCTCCGGAATACTCTAAAGGTTGAAAAAAAAAGTTCTTCCTTAAAGATCCAATTATTAGGATCATGGCCATTGAACACCGAAATTTCCATATGAACACCTTTAAGCAGGGAGCATGGGTCATTGGACTCTTTCTTCTTGGATGTATGAGAAGAAGAAGAATCCCTATGGGTTGATTCCCGTTGTGGAGTGTGGTGGGCAAGAAACGTCTCTTGGAGCTGTTGCATTTGAGCCACCAAGAAGAAGATTTGATTTCGAGTATCAGTTGCTTGAATCCGAATCTCATCAAGATTGACATCTACACATTGCTGAAAGGAGTTCAATTCATCGGATAATTCTTGCATCCTCATCCTTGATGAAGAGAAGGAAGAACGATGAAGAGAAAGCACCAATGCTAGGATTTACCCTTAAGAGAAAAGAACAGAGAACGAAAAATGGGTATTTAGATGAACATCTCAATGTTTTACAAAGTTCTGTTATATCATAAGTATGAACTAGCTTCTAACACTAACAACGAATCATTCACTTCCTAATTATATAATACCTTACTTACTGTACACTTTACACCTCAACTAATTATTCCACTAAACTACCCATATGCCACTCACGCTACAGATCCATCTAACAGAGTAGAACTTCTATTCACACTAGTGGATCTCCTAACAGTTATTAAACCCAGATCGATCATCGACTCGGTCGGGATACTAGATTAATGGGTTACTGATTTAACCGGTTAAATTGAATTTTATGTAAAGAGATGTAATGAATATATAATTATAAGTAGTATGACAACTATATTGATATGGCTTAGTGATTAGCATTTTATTTCTCTTCCCTTAAGTGCCAAGTTCAAATCCTAAGAATGCAATTGCGGCGAATTTTCAAGAATCGGTTCAATTAAAAAACAGATACAATCGCATGCATTACTGGTCCATTGCCCGAACTGGACCGGTTAGTGGTCTGGTTTTGGTTTAACCGGTTGCATCACCTACTTTTAAAAAACTTACTTAAGTATCATGCTACCGTAGATTAATTATATTTTAGATTTTATTTTATAATGTTATAAGTTAGTCCACATGCATATATTGTCACATTCCATAATATGAGTTGTGCAAATTTTAAACCGAATATTTTGTACTTGGATGAGTTTATACATATAATATAGATTGTCACAAAAAAATGCACATATAATATCATGAAAACTGCATAAACATTCATTAATTTTTTGTAACAATTTAAAATAATCTGACCTTAAATCCGTTAATGAGATCATATTGTAAACATTGTCTAGTTTGTAGTTGGATTAATCACACAGAGTGATCCAAGTGGGCTTTTAGGACTAAATGATGCTTGCTTAAGGAGTATGAGATTTTGCCCATTTGAAAGGCTTTTATTTAATGTTAAGAGGTGGCAAAATGGATCCAACCCGTCGGGTTAGCCCGTTTAACCCACCATATGTTGGAATTTCCAATCCGCTAATCCTCTTGAACCTGCTCCGCTTAAAGGTGGGTCAAAACGGGTTCAACCCGTGACAGGACAAGTTGACCCGTTGAGTTCATTTTTATTTTATTTTTTAATTTTTTAAAAATAACACTAATTAATAATACTTTTGTACCGCTTTTATTTTCATTTGATACCTTTTACATTTATGGAAATATAAATTTTTAAAAAAATTACTTTTTTAATATGTTGGCAAGTTAGCGGGGCAAGGCGGGTTAAAAATTTTAACACTTTCAAAAGCATGACGGAACGGGTTGAGTTATTTGGAGGCGGGGTAGTCGGGTTACTCATTTTACCACCTCTAGTTATGGAGGGAAAAGAAAAAAAAAAGTGAAAAGGAAATAAAGGAAAAAGTATGAGTTATCACTTACATTGTTTAATATCGTCCAATGAAAAGAAAAACACTTCACTCCTTTTGTTTGGTTTAATCTAAGAAATAATGGAAATATATGCAAATAATTATCAAATTAGTGTATTACCCTTCCAAACTCAACTTTTAAAGCATGCGTTGTGAGACCCACGATGACATTCTCCTTCTTTTCCATTCCACAACACAAGGAACCAATGCAAAATATGTGAGATCCATAGAAACACCCATTCCAACTCAGTTCTCATTTTTTAAACTTACTCAAAAGTAAGGACCTAATCCTTACCTCTAATCCTTTCCCTTTCAACTTAATTTATGCACAATCAAACAAAGCGAAAGAGATGTCAATCTAATATAGCCTAAAGTCAAGGCATAACACTTCTTGTGGAGCCTTGGGATCTTGGAATGTGATCTTTTCTCATGAGTGAAGTGAACAAAAATTACAGCAAGCAAGGTTACAGCTGATTCTATGGACTGTTTTTAACAATGTCATTTTTTGAGAATATATTCTCTTTTATCTTCATTGATATCGAGGGAAGACACAACCAACCACGTTGAAATTTCATGTATTAGTATGAAAAATAGATTGTACAGTAAGATAAAATCTGAGGGAAATAAAAGACATCTTGTTCGTATAGACGTAGTGGCAATAAGCATAAAGCATCTAAATTTGAGCGTGTTCATATGTTAGCGTCCACTTAGAGTATATATAATCCAAGTTTCGTTAATATACCATACTGCCACGTACAAATTGTGCAAATATCCCAAAAGCATGGCAAATAAATCAACAAAAGAATATTAGAAAATAATGGGGCTAAAATATAGGCCCAATGCGTGCCTAATGGGAGCTAGTTCCTTCAGCTCCCCTAGCACTGTAATGCAACTGTTTCTCTAACAGAACATACAACAACTTCCAAACAAACGACTCAATTCTTTTTTACCCCATTTGTGTCGATGTTAATTGGAGTACAACTCGTTTACATCAAGATGCGGAGAACAGCAAGGCCAACAGCAGAGATTGAAACAAGTGTTCCTATGCAGTATTTTATGACATCATATTTGGCTGCTTCCAGCTGTGCTCTTAAAGAATGGATCTCCTGAATATTATAGAAAAAAATAAAAATGAAATTGCCAATTTTTGGCATGGGATGAAAATAACAAGAAAAACTACTTCTAAATGTCACGGATTTGCTTACTCTATCAAGTTTATTAGTCAGGTTGTTAGTTTCAGCATTCTGATTGGACAGTTCCTCCCTTATTCTCCTGCATTTGCAGTGATTCATCAGCAATAACAGTGAAAAAGAGGAATTCCAATCTAACACAAATTATGTAATCACTGATAATCAACATATTTATTCTCAAATCTTACCCTCTTTCTAGGTTCAAATCCAATCGCTGCCCAGCAGTAACTTTATCTATCTCATATCTGCATCACAGCCCATGTGATTGAACCATAAAAATCATATAAAACAAATGAACACAGCTATAGAAGTTGAACAAGGCCAATTGCTTGATAATACATACTTCAATTCACTGCGCATCTTTTCTATATCATTCCTAAGCTTCTCAGTCTCATGTTGCAACAGAGAAAAATGATGTCCCTGAAATACAAGTTTTCAGCATATTACAACACCAGGCAAACAAAACCATCCTCATCAATATAGCAAACAAATTAAGCTAAATAAAATTACAAGGATAAAGAAAAAAAAAATGAAATTATGGCCAAGAAAAGGAAGAAAATGTAGTAGTTCCCATTCTAAGATGGATGCCCTCCCAGCATAAATTTCCTAACATAATGCAATAGAACCACCTAAACTTATATAGTATGTATTTTCTATCACAAGAGTTGTTTCTCCAACCATTTCAATTACTCTCGTAAAGAAATGATAAAACAAATAAGCGACAGAAGTACATTCTCCACATATTATTAAGCCTTATTTTGACAAGTATCATTAATTTAAGGTGCAAAGTTTGACCTTTCCATTGGGAAAAATATAAATAATCTTATATTTTCCCATGATTAAATGAGATAAACCTTGAGTGGCATCGAACAATCACACACATAATTACAAAACAGAAAATAGAGTAAGGAAGAAAGAATAGAGACACAAATTTACTCTGATACACTCAATGTAGGCTACATCCAGCAATATTTAACTATATTCTTCTCACCACACTCGTTATAAAGCACTCAGTTTACAAGATGAATATAAATAGACTTAGAAACCCTAAGCAACAGTAGCTATTTATGAGCTCAATCCCAAAGTACTAGAAAAGAAATAAAATAAAATAAACCCAAGGCCCACAACAATACCAAACCCCTGTGGTCCTAGGGGCGTTTCCCCAATACCTTCGCCTGAGCGGCTCTCCCTGACCCCCACCCATTCACCAGGGAGCGAGACCCCCATTGACATTCTCTGCATTCTGCAGACAAGAGTCAGTGATTTGAATGCGAAGTATGAGTCATATCCAACATGAACAGTGGTAAGTTTCTCTTTTATGACCTAAAGGTTACGGTTTTGAATCTAAGACATAATCTCTTTGCAAAAATGTAAGGGCTTAAGGCGACTAATAGGACCTTCACTCAGAAACAGAAAATAAAAGGGATACAAAGGAATTTTCTGGATTAACCGGATTTTATATTGAAAGTATAAAGGCAACTTACAAATAGTAATAGCAATAGCTACTAAAATAGGAAGATTACAAAGTGCAGAAAAGAAAAATGACCGAAAGAAATTACAGATAATGAATGCAATTCGAGAGGTATCCCTTCTCTCCCAAGTTCCTAGCCCAATCCCAAGTAATTGCCTACCTTCTCCATTTCTTTCCTTTCTATTTATTATCTATACCCACTTCTAGAATATTCTCTACTAACTAACCATTTTGCTGAATCAACATTGAAAGGTGGGAATATCCTGTAATGCTTCCTATAATACTCTTTTACAAATGGTGTCGCATCAATACCTCCCCTTCAAGGTTTCACCTTGTCCTCAAGGTGAAAGCTTGCTCACCAAAATCATCCTCCAGGATCCCATTGCTTGTAGTATAGGGATCCACTTGTGCAAGAAGCATTATAGTTTCCACCAGGATCCCATTGCTCCTCTGTAGTAGTTCCATCTTCTTTTAAAGCAATTTGAATTTGCGCAAGTATCTTTTCATCATTTGCCCAAATATCTTCCCCACATTCAACCATAGCTACTCAAACATATGTCTTAACCCTCCTTGAATATATAAATTCTTTTGCAATATTGAAGTCCCTACCAAAATCAAAATCTGCTACTTTTTTGCTAGAACTAATACTCACTTTCAAATAACAAACAGGACCTAGGTGCACTACAACTGAATTTGGTCTTGCTTGAAAATCATCAAATTGGAGCTTCAATCGTGAACCATCATCAGCAACCATAGTGTTTATATAGAGTTGAGGTGCTTGAATTATGGTGCCAACAAACTAGGTTTTGGTCATTTGCTCAAATCTTCCAGCATCATCAACAAATTGGCCCAACTCTGGTTCTAACTTAGCCATTTTCGTCATTTCTGGTTGCCATCTCCTATGCCTTTCTTCCTTGTGAATGTCCGAAGGTGGTGAACTCACAATCTGTGTTGACATCATTCACGAGGCACTTGAGCTTCTCCGATGCACTTTAGGTTCAAGTGTCCAGAAAACTCAGTCAAGCTCATGGACTAAAACCTGGGTGTCATACTAGACACCGTAGCTGTTGACAACTCTCCTCTCCTCATCTATGTTTCAGTGGTATGGTAGGTATGCATTATTAGCTTTTGGGCTTGGGTGTTGATCAATTTCGAATTTGGCTTTATTGTTGGGTCTAGTTCGTTTAGATAAAGAAATGGGATTATATGCCCATTCATCACTCAAAATAAATCATATGGGTTTAGGTTTGGTGGCATTCAAAATCAAGTTGGGCCTGTCTCCAAAGCCTGTGCAACCTTCGCTTCCATGGACTTTTCCCCTATGCTTCTCTGTTTCTTCTGCACGTGCCCCTTATGATTTCGTGGCTGGTTTCCATTCTTTTCCATGTTCTCCATCACAAGATTTCTCTGGGTTTCCATTTCTGGCTGTGAAACTTGCATTCCATCTTGGCTTCTGTCCATTCGTTTTCTATTAGAGTGATTCTTGGTCTTCTCAAGAAGTTCATCAAGTAGCCTCAGTATCTGCTCGTAATTTTCTTCAACTTGCCTTTCTCTTTTTTTTCCTTTCTTCAAATCTATTTTTCACTTGCTTCTCTCTTTTCTTCCAATCTCCAAATATGTTTTCCAATTTTTTTCTTTTTCTTTTTTTTTTCTGGTTTCAGCGCTGTTGGTTCAGGAGCTCGGATACAAATTGATACGAACCTTGGGAGAGCCTCACCCAAAATCTAGCCTATGAGGTAGGAGAGCCGAAAGACTACATAAACCCCACACCAGAACCTTATGTTTCATATGTGGGACTCCAAGTCCTATACCTTGGAGTAGGATCGTAATATTCCATCACGCTCCGCAGCCAGGGACTGGCTTTGCGCTAGTCTTTTATTATCCCTGGGCGAACACTGCAATGTCAGCGTCATCACCTGCGCCTCTCAATGGCAACTGAGAGACATAGTGGAAGGCTCTGATACCAATTGATAGGATCTTTTCTCAAAAACAGAAAATAAAAGGGATACAAAGGAATTTCCTGAATTAACCAAATTTTGTATATTGAAAGTATAAAGGAAACTTACAAATAGTAATGGCAGTAGCTAGCTACTAAAACAGGAAGATTACAAAGTGCAGAAAAGATAAATGATTGAAAGAAATTACAGATAATGGATGTAGTTCGGGAGGCTTCCCGTCTCTCCCAAGTCCCTAGCCCAATCCCAAGTAATTGCCTGCCTTCTCCATTTCTTTCCTTTCTATTTATTATCTATACTCACTTCTAGAATATTCTCTACTAACTAACCATTTTGCTGAGTCAACATTGAGAGGTGGGAATCTCCTATAATGCTTCCTACAATACTCTTTTATAAATGGTGTCGTATAAGTGATCCTCATCCTTCCCTCGCAAGGTCAAGAGCCATGTGGACTGGGGTGTACCCTAAACGAGATAAATCTTGAAGAGGATTACGATCATTGTCCAAAGACATCCTCACATAGCAAAAAACATGCATGGATAATTTCAAGAGCACATACAGCCCATTTGGTTTGAAGATCTTTAAATAGATAGGTTAACTAGACGAGGGGATTTAATAAATTTATCTTAACTAAAAGCATTCCAATAGACCAAAGTCTAAACACCAGAAATAACAATTTTAATAAACAATAGATAATTAACATATTCTCTTGATTAAAATTTGTGTTCGCTTTCTTCCTTTGCTTTTCAGACCATCTGGTTTTACACATATCAGATGTTAGCAAGCTTTCCCGTGGAAGTTTTGAACATGTCATTGACTATCTTAAGCAGCAGAAAATTAACAATTAAAATAAATATAACATAATTAAGAAACATAACAAAGACATCAGAAGTTTCTACTAAATTCCAAAGTGGAATTGTTTTAAGAAATCCAAACATTAATCATTTAGTATGGTTGCACCAATTCCAAAAGATCCAAAATATATTACGTTATGGACAATGGATACTGTTGATAACTAACAAGATCATCACATGCTAAAACAAGAGAATCAGTGAGTGGAAAGAAAGGGAAGATAGAAAAGAAAGAGTAAGTGACAATGTCTGAAAAGATGGGGAAGAACAGAGAAGGAACTAAGTGTGAGTTTGGATTATACTATTTTAGGAAGATAATTGGTTTTTGTTTTTGCTTGTTTAGAGAGCATTTTTATTTTTAAAAAACGATTGTTTCCACAAGAATAAGTTGAAACATGCACCAAGTGGTCAGCTTAGATTTATGACTTTCTTCTAATTACTTTCAGTTTCAAAGAACTCAGTCAAACAATGCCATTAGTATGTTTTATTGTTGCACAGAACAAAGACAATAATGGGTACTTTGCATTTATCTAAAACAGGAGAAGCAGGAAGCACGTATTCCCTAAAATGTTTTATCAACAAGTAAATGTAAAAAGTATATTGTTCATCCCGAATTAGTGTAGTTCATGGAAATCATATTTATGGCATCAGTAAGTGGGATGCCTGCTGCCTGCAATGAATGTATACAACACACAAGTCCTTTGTTCAGGCCAAGCATCTTCACTACTAGTACTAGTTCCAACTCATCCGTCTATACCAAAATCATAAACCTCAAACTCAACAAATAACACTTAGGCATAATTAATGAGTACCTGTGAGCTCTGCACTTCTGCTTTGAATTTGGACAGGTTGGATTCTTGAATCATTTCCATCTTTTAAAATAAAGGACCAAAACAGCCTATATTAGTACCCAAATTGTGTATCTCAGATTCTAAAACAAAGAGACACTGACAAGGAGAAACCCAAAGGCAAATTATATACATCCATAGAGTTACAAAAAATAAAAGATTGTACTTTGGAACCAAAGGGTCTTACTTTCTGCATTTCTCCTTTTGATACCAATGACTGAGACACATTTTCAAGACTGTCGTTCAACACTTCAGTAATGGCACCAGTTATTGCCTCAGCTTGCTTTGAGGGTACTCCTTGCCCCTCAAGTCTTCTAACCTAGATGCCAAAATTCAAACAACTAAACCATTAAATTGAAGCATGCAATGCAATTCCCTCACCCTTCTTCAGAGTTGCAACAACCAAACAAGGGAAATGAATGAAACGGAAAGTAAAAGTAAATAATAAACAAAGAAAAAAAGGAAAAAGGCATGTAAATTACAAGGGCCAATGTGTCAACGAGAAACAGGTGTTTTCCATTGGATTTCACCAGTTGAGAAAAATGTCTAGTGCCCGAAATGGAGAGCAACGAAACTGAGAATGGATCGTATATTGCTCTTTCAAACGAAGATGGCACTTTCGAAGCCCCAAAGCCTCCGAATCCAGATAATCGACACACCCGTTTACATAACGCGGCCATTTTAGATTCTGGGAACGTTTCCAATAACCGCAGCACCAATTTTCAGGTTCCAAATTCAAATCGGGATGCAGAAAGCTTCGCAGCGAGCCAACTACTACTCGAACAAAGGACAAAACCAAATATTTATATTCGCATGAAATACAACAACGTTGGACAAGCACGCCCAGAAAAAAAGAAAACAAATACTTAAACCAAAGCACAAAAATTTGTCCCTAATCTCGTGTTTTTTTTTTTTCTTCCTTCACTTTTTTCTAACCAAACAGAATGGGAAGGAAAGGAAAAATATTATTAAAACAAAAAAAAAAAAAAAAAAAATTGGCCTGGGGAAGGACGGTTACCTCAACCAATGACCAATCCAAGTACAAGGATGAAAGCCCCCACGTTCTTCGGCAGTGTTGTGATGAATCAACAGATCAAATACAAACAAGCTCTTGTACGAAAAAAAAAAATACAAACAAACTCGAAAAGAAAAGTTGTTCTGTAGCAGGGGAATTCTGGGTTGAGAGAGAGAGAGAAGAAAGGAAAGATGTTGAAAATTATGAAAATTATAAACATTTCAATAAGTCCAAAATCCTACACTGGGTCATGCTCAGAATCTAAATTGGGCTCATGATTCACTTAGCCAACTACGTAATCTTTCAGTTTCATGGGTTGCTTCATTTTGTATCTATTCCTAAGCCCAAAGACTGGTGGCTACTGTATATTACCAGGACCTACACTTGCCTGGCCCGTTACATGTTCCTAACAAAGGGAATGAGTTTGAGATTCTCTTCGTAGTTCACGATTACTTTTTTCCAGTGCAAAAACTTTACGGGTCAGGACAAAATCGCAATTCATATTGTGTTTCTTAACCGTTGATTTCATGTATGTAGATTAAAATTTATTGGATCATAATAATTAATTAATATGACCCTTCACAATAAGTGTTTTTGGTTTATCAATCCCACAAAACAATGGCATTAAAAATTTCATAATTATAAGGATTAATGTTTTGAATTATATAAAATTTTATGACATTTTTCTTAACCTTTCAGAATAGAAGGAACTGATTTCCTTTCTTATCTGGCATTAAAGTGAGACCTACACAATCAATCATATACTGATAATATTCATTAATTTTACATTTTATTTTTAGAAGTAGGATATTATAACAACCAGTTAGTATTACTACCAATGTTACTATCAATCAATTTCATCGTTAGATCGATTATGTTGATCCAACGGTTATATTTATTTCTTTTTTTGGTAAGCAGTTATATTTATTTCTATCTTTGTATGGTTATGATTTCTCATACTTAATACTTTATATTTATTTTCATCTTTTATATGGTTATGATTTCTTATATTTAATGCTAAAATTGATTGGTAGTAACACTAATTGATTGTTACAATATCTTTCCCCTAAAAAATAATACAAAAAAAATTAGTTATATTTTTAAAAGAATTCAACTAGATTCAAATGTATTGTTCAATAAGATAAAATAGCAAAAATTACTCGTACATCCAAGAGTAGGTTAACATATCAACTCATCCTATAAAAAAACTCTACATATTTAACATTTTACTACATTTAAAAACAAAAGTAACACTCCTTGTAATTAAAAAAATATATATCTTTCCTAAAATAGGTAATATAATACACTATTTGTATAAAAACTCATTTAAGAGTTCGAATGAATCAAAGTTAAGTTATATATAATTTCTAATTAGTCTCTGACTTTGAAGCATCTGAGGTCGCTGCTGCATTCACAACAATTGGTTCAACAGCTTGAGAAGAAATACAAGAAATGCTGTTATAAACAGGATAATATGAATCCAATTGAAGTTGATCTAAGATCTTTTGTGTAGCCCATAGATAAGAAGAATGGCCTTCGATGTGATCTGTCACATCGACCTGCAATCAAAAGAAAACCATATTCATTATTATATAAATATTCAAATTTTATGAATGATGGCACTGCTGATTATTGAAGATAAGATTGCAACCTGCAAAAATATTTATATGCTACCGAAGGGGATTAAGAAACATCTTACATTTTGGATCCCAGGAATATCGATTGGTTGGATTCCAGCTAATCCTTTTGTAAGTAGACTGCTCAAAATTTAAAAAAGATAATCATATTAATTTCTACTTTCTGTCTATTAAAATTCCTTTTTTTTTAAATTAAACCGTCTTACATTTTACTTAAAAATAACTCTACCCAAATTGATCGAAAATAATAAATAATAATTCAACCCAAATAACCTAAACATACATTTAATCAGTGGAAAACTTAATAAGTCATATGGCTATAACCCCTATCCCCTTCCCCAAACACCATATGATTGTAATGGAATGTTTGATGAATGAGACAACTGTCCATACACGAAAAAGGTGTAACGTAAAAATAGACGAGAACCATGAGACAGATATGGGTCCAGATCAATTGCTGAAGTGGAGTCAATCAGCATAGAGAACGCTGTTCTCTGCCTATACTTACAACTTCTTGTATAAAAAGACACACCAAAACATTGGTCCATACATAGGTTATGTAGTGTGAATCTTCATGCAAACAAAAACACAACCTTTGCAACCATTAATAAAAGTTATAGTAGTGCAGGCCAACTTGAAGTACATATGCAGAAATTCTACCACTACGTTTTCATGTACCTGGCACGGAAGGCAACTCCAAGCATCCAATCATTCCTTGAATAAGCATTTACAAATCTTCCTGCTACCATCTACAAAATACCAGGATCCCAATAAATTTATTCTTTCTCATAAAACAGGTGAGAAAGTTCTACTGAGAGAAAAATCAAATTCCCCCATATACCTTTCTAGCAGCTTCCCAGTTCTCATCCTTGATTGGGATGGGTGCTCCAAGAAGTACAACTCTTTCTACTAGTTCAGCTGCCAAGAAACAGGGGCAAACCTTTAAATCAATAAGGCAACCTCTCATTCAAAGGATAAACATGAAAAGAGTACCCAAGGACACGAAAACATATGCACCCATCAATAGAGTTCAAAAGATAAGAGAATAAACTCTCTCTTTTTTTCTATTCCTTTATTTTTATTTTTTTGGATTTCTCCACTGGTTCATCAATTACCCGGCCAATCCGGTCGAGCCAGGAAAGACCATAAGAGTGACAAAACTCTCTACTAAGTTTTTAAGACAATTGTGAGTTCAAGTTTTGGGTATGCAGTTGTAATTAAAACTTAGTATTTGTCATTCCTATGTTCCTGTCCAGCTCAACCGGACTGGTCAGATAATCAATGAATCGGCGGAGAAATTCAAAATAAATAAATAAATAAAATAAAGGAACAGAGAAAATTAAGGCTATCACTAGACACAGTCAAATAATCTAACACATCAGAGACAAAGGAAAGAGAGGAAACTGGAAATACCTACCACTATTTTCTGTTTTAGCCAAATACTGTAGGCACTTGAAAATAACTCTGGCCCCAAGTGAGTAGCCTACAAGTGTCACAGGCCTGAAATCCATAGATTAGTAATATTGCATCATCTGCAGTTTTATAGGAGCTGGAGTTAAAGAAACTTTAAAAATCAATCAATAACCTATTTCCCTGCAATCCTCTTAATAATACTTCAGCAAGCAGCTTCCCTGCTTTGTCTGATCTGAAAAACAAAATTAACTAAGGTAAGCAGATCCAAGTGTAAACTAAGAATGGAAACTGTCATAACAAATTTCTCATCCTGATGGTGAAGCCGTGATTCACAAAACCTTTTGTCCCAAAAAGAGAAAAACATAAGCAGTTACACCTTGGCATACCAAACCACCTTGACATCTCATAGATCATCCAGTAAATTATTTTGAGGAGAAAAATATGGCATTTGTCTTGAACTAAATCTCCCAAAAATTTAAGTTGTTGGGTCAAGGCACATGAATAGTTTTATCATATTTCTAACTTATTTATATTATATCTAGTATATCCTCTCATGCAAGAACTCTTTTTTGTACTAGCTTGAAGCATGGAGTCATGGACATTGGACAATACACATGTCTACCTACCTTGTGCTAAAATTCACTTTTTATTAGAGGAATGGGGGCAACAAGGGTTGAACTGTAGACCACTTAGTCATAGAGGCTCTAATACCATGTCATAAATCAACTCTTCCAAAAGTTTAGGTCATTGGATGAAGGCACATGAATGATTTTACCATAACCCTTAACATATTTATATTATACCTAACAACACTTAACCCATATAGGATATGAGCAAATGTAAAATATCATTTTGACAAAGGGATAGGATATTATACCTACCTTTTTTCATGCCTATTCTAACTACTCATCTCCAACACCGTTAAATTAGAATCACAACTGACCTTCACCCTTTCTCTTTTCTCTTGAAATTCTAATCTAACGGTGTTGGAGATGAATAGGTAGAGTAGGTATGAAAAAAGATAGGCATAATATCCTATCCCTTTGACAAAAGGTCGGATTGTGGGTGGCAAAGATGATGCCTGAGCGAGGATTAATCTCATATCCAAAGGGTGCAAGGATACCTCATGGTCTTACCAAAATGATCACATCCAACCCATCCAAGTATGAAAATAAATTTAATGGATCTATTTAATTTAGTGGATGGTTAGTGGACTGACTTAGATTTCCATTAGGTATCCACTTCTAAAACTAACAGAATTGCCTCGTGATCAGACTATAGTTTATGAAATTGTCATTTCATCCCATATAGCACTTAAATGCTGTCTAACTGTCCCTGTCCCAGATGCAACCATATCTCTTTGAATATTATGAACTGAACCTGTCATCCCCGGAAGTTGAAGGCTAAAAGCCTTTAGCCGCGTTAATGCCACCAACATTGAATACTCATGCTCTATCTGCTGACTTTCTTATAAAATATTTGCCTTATGGTCCCAATGTTCAAATCTTATCGTCCAATTTCTTTATGCTTTTCATTTATTCAATTATAGTGTTTGTAATCAGCTTTGTACATTAACACTTGAATATCAATAATCAATTAAATTAGTGCTTTTAAAATTAGCTTTTACAAATACCAAATAACAGCATAAACATAATGATCAAACAACAATGTAATCAATAAATAATAAATTTTAGGATCCTTAGCGGTGAAAAAGTTGAGAGCAGAATTCTAATCCCGTAGAAATAGAAAACAATAATAATAAGGGGCAGGTCATTTTTACATTGGTGTAAGAATAAAAAATCTTACACTCATTCTTGGCCATTGATTAACTTGTATCCAATGATTCACATAATTAAAAATAAATAAATTAAAGCCATTAGATATAAGTGGAATTAACAATCAAGATTAAGAATGTAAATTACACTAGTGTAAAATGATCTGACCCTAATAATAATGATATGATCAATATGGATAGGTTGGATTTAGATATCTATCCATTAAATGGATTGTAGACAGATTAGATTTTCTTCATAATTTTTAACAATCTAAAATAGATCAATTGTTTAATTTTTACCAATCCAAAGTCCATCTATTTGCCACCCCTACGTTAGATTATGAAGCCTTAAAAAGCTATTTGCTATGAATAGCATATATGATATTTGGCATGAAAATTCCACCAAAAAATGAAATTAATTCAAATTAAACCCATGGAGTTGTCAACTTCCATGACACAGTTATTCAAGTTTAAGAGCAATTAGCAAAAACAATTGAAACCATTGTATTGAAAATTTGAAATGAGATATTAGATATCAAATGAGTTGTTTTGAAGCGTTAACCTAATACACCTTTTAATACTGATATTTTAGGTAAAGTACTATAGTAGTGCAACATAATAAGACTCCTAAAACATTAAGAATCCTAATATTCTAAGTGTCTAATTCCTTGAATTGCATATATGATATCAAGATAAAGCAAGCAAAAGTTTTTTACCACTGCAAAGCAAATGTTCTATTCTACTCAGAACCAAATGACAAAGTATACCTGTTAATGGCAATTGTCCATTTACTGTCTATGAAATCAGTTGCTGCAAGTAATGCAGCTGGCCAAGCCAATGCAGTAAAAAGTGCACTCAAAACGGTCATCATTGCACCTCGCTTCATCAGCTCCATTGCAAGTCCTAAAGCAAGTCACAGCAATGTAAACATCATACACAACTTTACTTTTATACTAAGAACTTTAAAGTACCCAAACCAATTACTTGAAGTAAGCCAATCTTGAATCGCAGTGCTCACAGCAATTAGATTCTTGGACTCCCACTGCAGTGCATACCTAACTTTTGGCAAGGCCATATGAAAGGTCATTTTTTTTGCAGGAATCATAATAATAACATGACAATTTCTAAAATCAAGACAAACTGAAGTAAAATACAAGGTGATTTTATGTAACATGGTGATTTTCTATCAACATGTTGCATCAAAACCAAGCATTCCAAGCTAAAACTAACAACCCTGACCAATGATAATTGTAATGAATGGCAATATTTACTACTATACCTCTCCAAGTTGTCATTTTGTCCTTCCCATGGCCTTATAAAATCTTCCTTCTCAAAGACAAATCCAGAGACCAAGATCTCAACCCCTAGCCTCTGCAAGCAGAAGTTCAACAAGAATCTAATTTGAAACAATAAACCAAGTGAAGAAGAATGATTTTATAATAAAAGAAAGGTGAAACAAAGTTCACACATGCATACACAGATCATAACTCAATTTAAGTAAGCAATAAATCACTCCCCATTAAACCCCAACTAGAGAGGGTAGGGATGAGGGAAATCCTTTTACGTAGCCTTACCTTTGCAAATTTGCAAAGAGACTATTTCCCAGATTCGAACCCATGACCTTTTAGTCACAACTTTTTAATTGAAGTAAGCAATATCACAAGAAAATAGGAATATGAAAGATATAAAAACTAACGCCTTGGTTATGGTTTTCTCCTATAGCTTTGAATTCAAACTCATCAACACCTCCAACTCTCCTAGCCATTTTGCTTCCAGTAAGTCCAGCTCCAGCAGCTGGTAGAAGTAGCACAAATTGATACATAAAAATTTTCATCACCTAAAAAAAGGAATATCACTGATATAGAAAAGTAGAAATAACTGCAAGAATGAGCTGATTGTCCTACAGATGCTATAAAAACCAGCATGTACTGCAAGAAATCAGAAGAACTGACTACAAGATATATCAGATATTTAAGGGAATGCATCATTCCTCCAGTCAGTTACTTTCTAAAAAAAAGACAATCTCCCCTGTAACCTTTGTGTATCCTCTCCTGAACAATGATGAATTAAAGAGTTTGTATTGCAGCCTGCCTATTCAAGCAATTACTGTAAGCATGTCAATTGATAATCTATGAAGCACCGACTCCGACACGACGTTTTCGATACGTTCCTGATATGTTCTCGATACGACCGTTTATTCGTTGATACGATACAATACGTTTCCGATACATTTCCGATACGCGTATCGGATACGTTGGAAAAAAAAATTCGGAGTATCGGTGTTTCATAGTTGATAATTACAACAACAAAAATAAAATCACCCTCATAACCTATTTAATCATAAAACACCTTTCTATCAATCAAACAATAATGTAACACGAAAACCACCATATTGAGGACAAAATCAAAACACAAATTGAACACAGAACACCTATAAGACTCATGAGCATGTCAACAATGACTTTGTGATCATAATAGCATCCTTAAGGCTTAAACTACACATGAAATTCAAAAAGAAAGGGAAGGGAAGATATATTAACCTAGCATGCAAAAATTCTAGCAAATCTGATTGCATATGGGAAAATATATACCTCCAAATGATGCAGCAACTGCAACAGAACCAGCAACAGTTCCTGCAGCACTAGCAGCTGCAGCAAATCCACTTGCTCCAATCACAGGGATCAGAGTACCCAAAGTTGGAGCCAAAGCACCAAGTCCTGCAGCAATTGCTGGTGCAGCTAACCCTGTTGAATGTTTAAAATAAAAACAATCTTATCCCTGAGGAAATTGATTCATATGAAAATGCTATATTCCACAATACAGTTAGCAAAGATATCAAGGTCTCCATACCACCAGTAATAGCCAACAAGGTTCCCCCAGTTAATGCAGCAGCACCAATAATACCACCACGCTTCCATTTAGCCCATTTGCTTTCTTTTGATTGAGTTTCTTCTTTCTTTGATTCTTGCTCTTTAATGAAAGCCATTGCAGAACAAGCAATCATGACCTCAATGGCCTCCTACAAAGTGAATATTCATCTTGATCTTTAGAAGATATGGAACAAGTAAATATGAGAGATTTTAATAATTGAAAATAAAGCATAGCTTATACCATTAAAACATGTACAATTAGGATCAACTTGAATGTGGTAACTTAGAAATCAAAAAGTACAGGCAATGTTCACCACCATAAAGATTACTTCTTGATATGTCTTGTCAATCCAGTGTAGACAAAGAGAAACCATGGCACTCATATGTCATGATCCCGACTTATAACAAGTTGTTTCCCAATCAAATAATGTTCCATATTAAAAGATTCATCATACAAACCATTTTTTTCCACTTGATATCAAGCCAAGTTGCCAGCAACCGCAGAGCCGCACGATGTCGAGCATCATAGCCCTTTCTTCTCCGGGTATATTTCTCATTATCTTCACCTAAATCCGAAAGACAAGCAGAGAGAAGTTGATAGAGAACTGTCACTTTCCTCTGATCACTGAGCATCATCACTTCTTCAATTGGCCTCTCATCATTTTTACTACTAACAGATCCCTGGTGTGGGTCTTTACAGTCAAGCAAAGGGGTGGTATCTGTCTCCTGCTGTGTTTCCAAATGCGTATTTACCTTTTCAGAATTAGTTTGAGCATCAGCAGTCGAAAACTTTTCACGACATTGATGTTCATATTCATGAAGCTTCTCTCTTTTAGACTTGGAAGACTCCGAGTTTTCTTCCATGTCAAGTACTATACCATCAACAGCTTTTGACAAAGCAAGTTCTTGATCTAAGCTTTGAGAAGAACCATCATCAAATTCTTCTGAGAGAAATCTCAAGAACTGTAACATTGAAATACATTATTATCATACTGGAAAAACCAAAATCATTGAAGTAAATATTAGTAAAGAACAAGTAAATAGACGTACTGGTCCCACATGATGTGTAGCTGTAGAAGAACCCGCAGTTTCCTCTAGTCCTGACCACGCGGCGGAATCAATATCTAGAAACCTGTTTGGATTCAGACTCAGAGGCAGAATATTAGAATAAGACTCAAACAGAATCCAACACGCCACAATTGATACAGTATATGGTTAGTTACATCAATTAGCAGCAGTTAGTTACAACTGTTTCTGTTAGTAGTTAATGTATTGTAACAGATTCGTCAAAGTATATATTATGCACTTCCTAATTTGTACAATGAGATTGTTCATCCAATACAATTCACCATATCTCATCTCTATCATACTCTCAAATTCCTTGATCTGTTCTAATCTACTCTCTGTTCTCGTTTACTCAGATACCTTTCACCCCTCTTTACCGTTAATTAGACAATTGCACTGCGAACAACTAAAAGAGGAAGAAAATTAGCAATAACACTAACACATACTTGAAAACGGGTCGGAGCAAACCCGAATGGTGGTGGACCCAAAGATCCGGGTCATCGGAAACTGAATCACTGCTGGAGCTACTACTGGTTCGAACGTCAGAGAGGGGGTCCTCTGAAGCGGGTGAGGCTATCTGGTGGGTCTGCTGAATCTGGGCCTCGTGAAGAGCCAGGCTGAACAATCCTCCGGCAGCGTATCTCTGCGTCGGCGACAAAAACGAGGTCGTCGGCGCCGCCATGAACCTCCTCCTCGTCCTTCTTCTTCTTCTTAGGTAAGGTTATGGGAGAGAAAGAGAGGGATCGTCGTTTTGGTGATTGTAACTGAAATTTACGGAATGTGGATTGATGTGCCTCTTTGAAAGGGGAAAGTGAAACAGGTTTAATATGTTTGCATTTTTAAACACGGCCGTTGAGGATGACGTGGCGTGCCGGGGCTTTCAGAGTTTTGTTTTGTTTTGTTTGTTTAATCCTTTTGGACAAAACAAAAGTTCATTCCTTGTTGCCGTTTCACGACTTGGAATCACTGCCAGCATAAAATATAAGATTATAAATTAGATAATGATTTAAGATTTATTGAAACGTAGAACAAAATGCAGGCTCACCTTTGATGAATTCCATCCCGTGGAAGTTTCTCATGTGTTGTTAAATAAATTGTCGAGCATAACATGAGGGTGCATTTCCAAGCATGTTTACACCGTGTGTGTGTGAGATGATAAATTTTTTCGGAATCATAATTATCAGGAATACGGTGAAAAAGTTAATTTCTCGAAAATATTAATAAAAAATTATTTAGTAAGCTAAAATATTATCGGAATTTTGTTTCAAAAAATATAAAAAAATTTCAACATCTGAGATTTTGGGTGGTATTCTTGGATGATGGCTTTTTGACCCTTTTGACCCTCATTAATTAATTAATAACCAATTTGCCCCTGATCAAGAACTATCCACCAACCTGCCCCTTTTAGTCGACTACCATGCTGTTTTAGTCGAGCAAATGGTCAATCTTCAGAAAGTGGACTTCCGCAAATTTAGTCGACTAAAAAATCATCTTAATCGACTACATTTTTGGGATATTTAGTCGACTAAGTATCGATATTTAGTCGACTAAATATCGACGGATTTGTTTTTTAAAAACCCCCCATTCGGCAGAGGGGGAGTATGATGACCTAATCGACTAAGGAGGCGGCCCAAACCCCAAATCCGCAGGAGCAGCTGAAGAACGCCCCAAACCCTTCCTTTAGGCGTGTGGATTGCCCCCAAATTTGGTCCAAATCGTGAAATCTGAAGGATAGGTAAGGTTTCTTAACTTGCATTGTGTTTTAGGTTTAGGAATTTTTTGTATTTGTTTGTTGTCCGAATTTGTTAACTCTAATCAAAGCGTTTGTTGTAGGTTTTGTAACCCTAATCTACTAAGGTTTATTTTTTTGCATTGTGTGAATTTTTTTGTTTGAAAAGTTTGTATGGGGCAAAAGTTTGCTTTTGGTTTACAGCGCTTATGTTGCAAGTTTTCATTACCATCATGACATGTTTCATATAGTTAAATGCTGACATGTTTCATTGTAGGTACCCTAAACAAATGACGAGCCGCAGAAGACCAAGCGATGAGGGCAATGAGTCACTTGAGAGACGCACCAAGCATAGGCAAGAGCGGCCTTCTTCGTCAAGGCGACAAGACGAAGAGCCTGATACTGTTGACCTCCCGTATGGGTATCTGTTTGAGGACGACCCTGCCGTCCACGCTTCATTCGTACGTGACCATTTGAACCGGCCGTTATGTGCTCCAAAATCTTTGGATACAGCCTTTTTTGATAAGGAGGGATTTGAAATTGTGGGGGTGTTGGAGGCGGCACATCTGAGGGTGTTGGCCGAGACCCTATGTCCGTATTCAGAGCTTATGGTGCGGGCCTTCTACCATAACCTCAGCTACGTACAGGGCGAGCTGAGGTCGAGGGTCTGTGGAATAGAGATCATCATGACGGCACCTGCATGGTTGGAGATACTCGGCTATGATTTTGACTCTTCTCAGACTGTGGTGTATGACGCTGATAGTGGTGTAGTACTTCCAGGATATGTACGAGAGGATGCCGTGCAGGAGCAGAGAAGAGTCCGTGGGGAACACTTGCACTATACGATGGGGTTGCTTTCTGTGGAGTCCCGTATACTACACTATGTCCTCACCCACGTTCTGTTTCCGCGATCTTTTAATCATTCCAGGGTGTTGGAACATGACATTCCCATTATGTGGGCTATCCGACATGCCCAGATGGTGAACTGGAGGCACTATATCTGTTGGTTTATGTTTAAGGCCAAACATAAGGGTCATCTTCCATACGCCTGTCTGGTACAGAGGATATTGGTTCACTTTGGTGTTCCCATGGAGACTGAGCTGTTGAAGAAGACCACGGGCTATAATTGCAAGTTCGGAAAGCGTCTATTGGAGCAGTGCAAGATTACTAAGAACACGAGATCGGGTGTGTGGGAGTTTAGTGGTATGCCCCAGGTTGAGGTTCCTTATGTTGCCCCAGATGACCATATTGTTGAGCCAGATGTGGAGGAGGAGGAGGAGGAGAATGTGGCTGAGGTTGAGGAGATAGCTGAACCTGAAGGTGGATTTTCACTGCGTGATGTCATGAAGGGCATAAATGCAATGACAAAGAAGATAGGAAAGATGGCGCTGGCACATAAAAAATGGAGAAAGAAAGGGAATGAAAGGTTTAGACACATACAGGGAAGGTTTAAGGGTGTGGAAGACAGGCTTGCTCGTCTGGAGCTTGCAAGAGGTGGTCAGGTAGCTGAGGCAGCAAGGGATGGGGGTCATGTGTCAGATGAGGACGACTCGGAGACGGACACAGACGGGGATGACGAGTAGATTTAGGGTGTACATCATGTTATTGTGTTTTGTTCATGTATTTCCTTTAAGTCGTTGATGTAATGTAACTTTTTTTAATGAATGCAGAATTGTTATGTTTTTTGGATCTATGTTATGTTGTGTAATGAATTTAATTCCATTTCAATATTGTATAACTTATGAATGGAACCTTTTTAGCAATTTGATCATCACGGCACAAAACAATATTGAACAGGTCACATTCGTCCATAACACATCACAGCAAATCAGTACATGTGTTCAAAAAGGCTACATCTTGTATTGTTAACCGTAAACAAACGTTATGACAACGTACGACTTGGTTTTAGGAATTTAATGTCCACATGGGTTTTTTGACTCGAAAATTATGCTCCCTAAGTCACACTCCCTTAGTGGATCAGTGTAGAGTGGAAACCTAGGGCAAAAAACATGGGTAATTCGGATTTGGGGTCCTAAACCAACAATTTAGTCGATTAACCGCCCTAGGTTTCCACTCTACACTGATCCACTAAGGGAGTGTGACTTAGGGAGCATAATTTCCGAGTCAAAAAACTAAGATGAGTCAAATACAAATATCATGACATCAAATACAAACATAGCACCGTCATTACATTCAAATACAAACATCATGACATCAAATACAAACATAGCACCGTCATTACATTCAAATACAAACATCATAACATCAAATACAAGCATATAAAACCATAAATGCCTATAATGTTAAACCATCAAAACATTAAGCCCTTCCCATGCTTCCTCCGCAATTCATCTTGTATTGGGAATCCTCATAGGACATGTACGTTTGTTGTGACCAATTTGCTTACACAGGCTACATCTACTCTGACTGCTTGTCGGTTGAGACTCAACCCAATCCATCTCATTCTGTATCCTTGACGATTTGGGTCTTCCTTGTGCACGTACCAAAGATGCATTTGGGATAATGGTTGGGCCATCAATTTGTGGAATCAACAACTCATTGCCCATTGGATACCAATGAGCAGCATATACCTTATCAATTTGTGCAATTGAGAACACAGGATCAACATAATCATAGTGGTTCAACTTTTCTACCTTGCACACCGCTAAGACATGACTGCAAGGGAATCTTCTAGATGTGAACCGTCCACATTGACATTTGCGATTGAGCAAGTCCACCCTCATTATGTCACCTGCATCATGAGTTGATTGATTGTAGGCATCCTCAACTTCAAATAGCTGCAGGTCCCTATCAAAAACCCGCACACGGAGGCTCACTGTTAATTGATCATTTTTTTGGATGATATCCTCAACTTTTTTTGCAATTCTCCAACCCTTTGCCTTTGCCTTTTGGATCTTTTCACGTCTCTTGACGAAATACTCAACAAGTCTACTTTGAGTCATCTTCACCAATGCTGTTATAGGCAAATTACGTGCACCCCTCAGGACCTTATTCACACACTCAGATAAGTTAGTCGTCATGTGACCAAACCTCCGACCGTCCTCATCGTAAGACCTGCACCATTTTTCTTTGGGAATCTGATCTATCCATGAAGCTACTTGAGGGTTACTGTCGATAAAATCCTGGAATCTGATATCAAAATGAATCTTTGAACTCAAGTACCCTGAAATACAAAATGATGCGTTAGATACAAAAGGATGAATTATATACAATTTGTACATATTAAAAAGAAGATTGTACCTAGCTTCATCAGGGTTTTCTTTAATTCCACATCTCTGAACTTAGTGTTAAAGTTGTTTCCGATGTGGCGTAGACAAAACACATGATACGCAAATGGTGGCTGCCAACCAGCATGATCTCTTACAGCCCTGATGATGCTGGGATGACGATCGGATATTAGACAAATGCCATGCTTATGCGTGACGTGAAAACGCATGAGGCTAAGAAACCACGACCA